GATGAAAGAATCGTTTTTGAACTTAACACTGACTTATTTTGAGTAACTCGTTTATTTGAAAAATACTATTAAAAACTTCGTACTAGTCTGCCATTTGAGTTGACGTTGGTAAGACTATATTCGCACAACGTAATAATTATTCTAGCGAAGAATTAAGATCGTTCAATGTATAGCACTTCAAAAGAATTAGGTTTAAGGCTAAATTTAGAATTGACTTTGGAAATAACATGCATTGTGGTAGACTTGCTAGGTAACTTTGGTATGACAGCGTTCAGTTCCCTCAGTGCGCAAATGACAGGTGTTCGCGAACGCGTGCCGAAACGCTTTATCAACAATTATAAAATGACGCACTAAAAAAGTTTGCCCAAGTTCCGACTAGACGTGATTTTCGTTTCTAGGCAATAAAAATGGCCAATAATTAGAAGAGGCATTTGAATCTATTTAACAATAAAAAAGCAGAAAATGAGTTTTAAAATGACAGAAAAGGGATGCATTTTCATAGAAAACGTAGGCATTTTACAGCTGCATTTTACTTTGAACTACCTTTTGTCGAATCTTAGCCAGATTTAGCATTAAATTAAAATAGATGGCCGAAAAATTCATATTATATTTATTATTTTTCATATTATTATCTTTCTCCAACTGCTTTGCCTTGACCTCTAGAATTCTATGTAAACAAAAATGGTTGACTTAACATCAACACCGAACAATTAATCTAGCTACAGAAAAACTTCAACAATCAGAATTCGAGTTATGAACTATTTATGGTTTTGACGTTTTCTCTGAAGGAATAATAGATTCGAAATTCGAATAAGGAAACCATTATGGAACCTAGGAGGTAAGCTCGACCCGTTTTCACTGTCAAATGTTTTCACGAACCTTTCAGAAACACCGTTCATTCAGTAACATATGCCAATGACAGTCATAGAAACGCCTTGAATTTCTACCATATTTGGTCACATATTTTAACGGTCATAAACCCGTTTTAAACGCGAATAAACTTTTTAAATGGTTAAATGATTGTACACCCGGCCAATTATTTAGGAAAGTTGTACTATCAAGTCTGCATTCTCAGCAGTTACTAGTTTATATTAGTCTTAATCATGTGTAGTAACATAACCCTTACCAAAATGAAAATCCTTACCAAAATGTTCAAATTGAACTAAAATAATGAATCACAAAATGATCAAAAACAAAGACAAAAATATCTAGAATCAGGCTGTTTTTTTAGAACAGTACGGCTTTTTTTAGAATATTCAGTTCTAAACGTATAAGAAAATTATTAACATAATGATATGTTTAAAGTGCATATGACACGAAAAAAATTTAATGTTAAAAATGTGTATTTTATTGGCATTAATAAGAATATCACGGTTAAATTTGTTTCAAAAACGTATTCAGTCTAGAAATTCAAGAAAATTTAGCACAAGTTGTGACGTCATTTTGTTTACAAGTCTCCAGATTTAGTTGCAAATATACGAAATATGTTTGAATGTAGAATCTTAATTTCAGGTAGTACACCTTTTAGTTTCCCAACATTTGAAGAGTACTACGTAAGCTATCAAATGAAGTTGAATAAAA